TTATTTTCCAGAGTATAAAATCTTGTAGTGTTCTCACTGAGTATGTTTGTTTTCAAGTTAACCTCACAGGGCAGGAGATATTACTTGACAAAACAAATATAATATGATCTTCACTAACTCCTCCCTACTCCCCTGCTTACTTCAATTAGAAGCTGAGTCACTGGCAGAGAGAATAATCTTCTGTGCACTTTTAAAAAAATGCAAGATCAAGTCATTGCCAATAGCTTTATTAAAAGATTGTGATGGCAGTTTTGTGCCCACTTACATGGCGTTTTCCATTTAAAAGTTGTTTTTTTTTTTTTTTCCTTGAACCAGCCTCATGGAATATTATCAATGACTACCAGCATTCACAGACATGTGACTGCTTTCAGATGACTAAAGCAAACAAAAACCTCCCTGTTGGCAGGGAAGGGGGACAGTGCTACTGCAAGTTGAGACAATGTATCTGCAGAGAACACTAGTCAGCTTAAGGAAGCAGCTGAGAGGCTTTCTCTTCCATGCTGCTCAGATTGTTCCTTCCTCTTTGCCTTTCTGATAAAAATACTGTTATTCCTTCTATTGTTTAATCAAACTGTGTGGTAAAGGATACAGCCTTGAGTAGTACCTAGATTCCTTATAATTTAAATACTGTAGGTTATCTAAATGTGTATTTTTTGATCTAAAATTGACTTTTGTGTGAACACAGGTCAATGGCACTTCTTTGTTTGCTTTTTAATTAAAACTGGACAACTACTTTTTTCCCTCTCAACCTTAGCTCAGAGAGTGAGGTCAGCCACTGCCAGCAGAGTTAACGCTGCCTGATAAAGAGGCTGAAGTGGCTGTCAGATAAAGGTGATGCCCCACAGCATCTTTAGATCCATGATCACTCTTCATTGACAGCAAAAAGGTTGTGCCATGGCAACTCTGCTACACATGACGGGGAAGGAGCTTTACACAGGCATGAGAGCATGGACTCCACAGTGTGACACGGACGTGCTGCACTGGCTGGTGGTAGCAAGAGCAGGAAGATGTGAAGCAATGATACGTCCACTAGTAAATCTGATCTGCATTTGTCCTGTCCTGATGAGATGCCTTAGGGTCATTTGTTTCTAAACTAAAAACATCTTAAATGCAGCCATTGTCTAATCAGATGCAATAGAGGCTCTCCCTGTTTAAACTTGGTTCAATTCAGTTAGACTTCATGCTTCTGTAACTTATACAACTTGTTAAATAGACTATAAAATAGCTACTTGAAGCTGTTTGCACAGTGTAAGTTTTCATCATCTTTGAGTTTTGTTCTGCTGTCTCATATTCTGAATAGCAGTTTCTCTGTTATTCTGACACTTGCTTCTCTTGTATATTAACTGCAATTACCACAGGAACTATAACTTCACAGTGTATTTAGAAATAAAGACTAAAATGTTACCTGAGAAGCCTCTGACTAGGCAATTGAAGGGATAGTTCTTTAAAAACAAATTTAAAAACGAGGCATTAATTTCAGTTGATGTGCTCAGGATTAAGCCAATGTAAATAACAAGATAGAATACTCTATTAAAGGAGAGTAAGATTGATTGCTCAGGAGTACAGGTGGAGCATGCTGTATTTGGACTTCTAAGTTTTGTTGGCCTGTGACCTGTATTCATCTAGGTGGAAAATCAAGGTTTTGATCTACATGAAGTCTTTCCAGCTGGAAATCTTTATGCAGAATCACTTACTTGAATCACTTCTCTGAATTATTTTTTTTATAATTTTGAAATTGCATCATACTTCAAAAGTGAAGTCTGATTTATCTTCTTTTGCTAATGGTAATAATCAGCTGATTCTGGCTTACTAAGGTTATACAGGGAGAAAGAACTGACTTCAGCCATTTTCCTTGGTGTTTTTGGAAACTTTTTCAAGCAAGCATGTTTTAATAAATTATTATACTCTTGATAGAATGCAGATAAATAAGAACTTTTTTCTATCCCCCCTTTTTTAAGACTTGCTAACAGATAGCCACTGTATCAAGTATTGACTTTAATTACATTTCAGACTAGAAATTTTAGCCTGAACATGAATTCAATGCAAGAATAATGTAATCTCTGGACAGAGCCCTTCTGTTTACTTAATCAGTAATAACAAGCTAGCTTTATCTTTACATAGTCAGCACACACATCTGATTTGTTACTTTGTATTCATGGTAATTTTAACTGACCTTGTTATGGAAAGTTCCCTCATATCTGTTACTCTCACATCTCTCTCCACTTGCAACTCTCCTTTTTTCCCCACTTCCTACTTAGGTTTTACATAATATCAAGTTCTGTGTCAGGTAAAGTTGGCTTACACATTCTTGCAAAGCGTGTGCTTATCAAACAGCATTTTAGGATCCACAAGTCAACTCATGTAACATTGGAAACAGCCTGGCTTAGTGTAAGTCACACAACATTATGTGCCTGTTCAAAACTTTCAAGTTACTGAAACAGAATTGTAGGGCAGAAAGCGGTAGAGGGAGGCTATGCAGAGATACAGTGGTAGCATGTAGAAAGTTCCTTCAGATCAGCACAGGTGGTTAGTATATTCCACCACTGGGTCTGGAACTACGTGCCTTTCATGCCAATATGTAGTCTATACACACTGAAGCCCATTTTTTTTCTGAACAGCCACTGTAGTCTTACTTTTACAGTAAAAGGGTTGTACACTCACCTCCTGTACGCATGTTTTTCATTTGCATAACTATTGCAAATAGGTTCCTGTTGCATGTTTATTCTTCAAGTCACTGGTTCACTCCCTATGTTTCTGTTTAGATAATACCACTACCAAAGTCTCCTATGTAGCTATAATCTCAGGCAGCTTCTGCTAAAGTACATTGGCTAAGACTGTGGAGTTTTGTTTTTTGTTTTTTTTTTTTAATTAATTCTTTGGGCTTTTAAATTGTCTAGAAAAAATTCTGATTTAGAATCCAGACTTAATTGTAAATGTGAGTTGACTGTGTTCCTGGGAGTTGTGTAAAGATAAAACACAGTTTAGACAGTGACATGCAGAAATATAATCTGACATGCCAAGAAAAAGATACAAGATTGACTGGTACATCCAGTAATGAAAGATGTTAAGCTTAAATTACCATCCTATAATTTTCTGCTTTGAATACGTGACTGCGTGCACACTAAGAAAGTATCTTCCAGGCAAGAGCATTTGACCTAATTTAGACAGAACTCTTGTTCCTCAGTTGCCTGTACATGTTGCATACAGTAGTGAATCCGTAGCAAACCCCACGTTTTTTAACAGGGAGAGATCTACTGCAGGTGAAGATGAAAGAAAATCAGTTTTAAGAGTATGATTACTGAAATAATCTGTTCAGAAGCACACAGTCCAGAAGATCCAGTTATTTGATCTTTTCTTGTCGAATACAGTAACAAAATCAATTCAAAAATAGCCCTTTTCCATAGGTCTTCAAGTTAAGAGGGTTATAATGTCTAATTTTCTTCTAATGAGCATTATTTTAATTCTGTCATTTACAGTCACAGTAAAATCTACAGGTTTATTCATATAGGCAAAATTTCTGAATACAAATGCACTTTGAACAATGTATAAGGCAAAAGTAACTTAAGGACAACCCCTGCTCTGTAATCTCTGAATCAGGTCTGCCAATTAATGGTCAGCCACACCTATTTTCTCATCTGATGTTAGGGGGCACGCAAGTCATCACTGCCATTTCAAGTCAAAATCCAGAATTTGCCTTCTCCTTGCTTCCAACAGCAGTTCATGTCAGCTTGAATTACATATGCATAAGACAAACTCAAAGCCTTACCCTGTGGTAAGCAGGTCAGGTTTATTTTTCTGCTGTGAGCTGTTTTAATAAAAAGATCGGAATGCTATTTCAGGTCTTCTAGTCCCTATTAGTTAAGGGCCTCTGGGTAGTGCTTTCTTGGCCCTTTGAAAGAGAGGAAAAAGAAAAAAAGCAAGCAAGCAACTTGGCTACTACAGCATAGATCTGAACTATGCTGAAATGTTTGGTTTTGCCAGCTGTCTTATTATACAGCTTGTTTGTGCAAGTCACAGCAAAAACGGACGTGGCTTGTGCTAAGGAAATAGCACAGTGTTTCACAGTGTGATGTTATTGCCTGATACCCATCAAAAGGAGGCACAAAGCAATGGCAATGAAAATGAAACAATGAGGAGCAGCCAAGAGCAGACAATTCTGAAGTTCAGAAATAGTTGAAGTAACATGTTGTTCTTCTGGAATTAAAAGCCCCTCACATTTTTACGGCCTCCTCAAGGGAACCCTTTTCAATTCTTTCCTATCACCATTGCCAAATATAAATCACACAAACCTCTCTACAGACTGAGCGATTTCTTTTGAAATTTGCTGAAGACTTTATCAAAGACAGCTTTAGGTCGGTTTGCACCCTTCTTTACTCTTTCTGGGCACAATGTTATTTTGCAATTTGCCAGCATTCTTAGATGCCACCATCATAAATGGAACCTCCAGACACACTAAAACTCCTAAGAAACAAACCAGCTCCTGGCAGTGCATTGCTTTCATGTTAGTTCTTTGGGGTAGTGTATGTTCTGGCATTGCATCATTTCTTTGATCTAATAATTCCCCCAACTCTTCTTGTATGGTGACCCTCTCCTTGAGAGAGAGCTCATCATTTCATACTGCACTCCTTACCTGCTGGGTTTATTGAGGCCTTGAGGATGTCTAGGGGAAGAGCAAGCCTCTCCAAAGCTGGTTAACTACATAAAGATCTGTATTGAATCTGCATCAATGAATTCTTGCTCACATATGAAAATCCCTTCTCCCAAATTTGTGTGATACCTAGAACACTGATACAGTTATTAGAATAATCCTGTCTGACGTGCTTCAGGTTCCAGAGGCTTTTCATCTGGTCTCTTAAAAGACTGAATTTCCTCTGAGAAGAGGACAGTGAAAGAAGTAACTGCTGAAGGAACTAGTTTTCAAAGAGCTTATTCCAAAACTGTGAAGATTTTTTTTTTCCATTAAAAGCCTTTCATTATCAAGAAGACAGTAACTGCAAAAAAAAAATTAACACATTTTTATATTTTCTGCTTTACATGTGAACTTAAAAGTACAAGATGGCTTCTTCAGCTTTAAAAATGGCTATTACAATTAGTCTCTTTGCTAACAATTTCAAAAGAATGGCAGAAGACTGACTTTGTTCCCAAGATGAAGATGAATCATTTTGTCAGGACAGTGTGAGGTGCCACCAAAGGCAGAAGGCTGTAGCGGTGGTTGTTTTATAGGGCTGGAGATTGTTTTTTCTCCTTGATGTGGTCCATACCCTCTTCAATAGACATAAATATCAATCTGGTACTTACTGCTCCCGAGTTTGTTATTAGAGCTCCTGTTCTGCAAGCTTCTTTTTTCCAAATCTCTGCCTGCTGGCAGAGGCCAGTTACAATCCAGTCAGACTGCCTCTACCACACACCTTGAAAGCCTGCCCCTAACTGGGGGGGTGGGGGGAGAAGGAGAGAGAGATGGGGAGAAAGAGGAAAGAGAAGAAAGAATGTGAGAAAGAGAATATGAGAGAAAGAGAAGCAGGGGGTGGGTGCAAGCAGCTCTCTATCACTAGAAGAAAGCAAAACAACTCCAATGGCCTAGTTTCTGCTCCCCCTGTATGTTCTTTCACTTGCCAGGGCCTTAAATTGTCTCAGCACAGGCATGTAGCTGACATGGTCAAAGACTGCTTAGCCCTCTGCAGTGAAATAAATCTCATCCTAACAAACTATGCCCTGTCGCAGCACTTTTCCTGCTGTTCAACAACCTGTTGTTGAGGATATCGACGTAACATTCAGACTTCTTCCTTTCATACAGATCTTTTCATAGATCTTCCAAAAAGTATTTGACATTAATCTTCCCTTGGATACCCATGCACACCAGTGCCATCACTACAGGAGAAGCCATGACACAAGTGACAGTGACTAATGCCACTCTGTCTTAAGGATTTAAGTAGAATTCCACCTTGAATTCATCTGCAGAGTCATAGGCACTGTCTAGACTTCCCTTGATGCCAGCTTCTGATATTCTTGCTTTGAAACTTTGACTCATTAGCATTCAACACTTACTCTTGACTGTTACTGTTTCCTGTTCCTTCTTTCTGAAGTGGTGAGATGGGTCTTTTTGTTCTGAGGAATCAAAACTAAATCACAGAAGTCCAGTTGTCTTGTTTTGACACCATTTCTAACTAACTATTTAATTTCAAAAGAAAAACCTAAATGCTATCAGTTATACAATGTACTGGATCTGTAGTGGGGATTTGAATCACATCAGCACATAACCTCTCAGTCACATTATGCAGCTGTAAACCTCCAAATCTTGGCATACCTGAGAAGTTGTATTCCTGATGACTACTAACATTTTGGTCATTGTTATCTTTGCACATCTGGGTTCCAGTCTGTCATTGAAGTCCAACACATAATCCATGGTAGAAAAGCAAAAATTAGTTAAAGCTCGCCAGACATATATTCTATAGCCAGAGCCGATAACTTGCAGTAAATACATGGGACAGGAAGAGGCTTTGTGAGTTCAGTCCACAGCCAGAGCAGGTTGTTGTATGTAATTTTGTATAGAAAGCTAATTGGTCAAATTTTGCAGTTCATTAGTCCACTAAAGTCCACTAAAATTCTGTCACTGTTAGAAGGCCTCCCTCCTATCTCTCATACTTATATATACATTAGAAAAGCTATACATTTGTTCTTGGTTACCTCAATTATTCTTCTTTTAATGTTGGCCTTTATTTTCAGTTAATCTTTTTATTTAAATCAATGGTGTTTTTTTTCACCAGTCAATTCCTTGCCTTTTTTCCTTTATTTTATTTTGCTTTTTAAAGAGCTGTGATTGCTAATCAACATTCATTAACTGTTTTCCCTATGTTCTCATGATGTATTCAGTTTCTCACAGGAAAAATGGCTGTCTGATCAGATTTCAGAGATTAGGAAGCTTTTAAATATTCATGGTGATTATTTAGCACTTCTGCTGTTTATCATATACAACCTCACTATGATATACTTTGTAAAATACCTGTATATGGAAAAGTGGGGTCATCACACAATTAATATTTAATCTAAATAGAAAATAAATAAGCAAGCAGTATCTTTACTCTTTTTTACTCTAAAAAGTACTGAAGGTCTTGAGGTTTCTTTTGTTGGTGAGTTTCTCACATGTCCTCAAATCTTTTTAGCTTCTTGACTGATCCATCCCTGCCTCAGGTGTATCAAACAAGTTGCTCTAAAACTGACAATTCAAAATGCCTCTTTTTCATCTTTTCTATTTCAACATGTAGTTTCCTGCCAAGTCAAACTCTTACTTGTAGCTGGCAGAAAAAAAAGCCAGTCTATCATTTAAAATGTGTCATACTCAGCAGCGTTTCTGTAAAGATTTATGGGCAGCATTGTATAAGAAATGCATTAAATACTCTATCTGTTCTGACATTAGGTACTGTTTAGTTACAGCCATGTGACAGATATAAAAAAAGAGGTATTCTTTATCATCTACTTCAGCCCTAACAACACATTGTGAATGATCTCTTTTTAGGGAATCAAAAAACCTTTTACTGAAGTAATTAAAGCCAACATTGGAGATGCACATGCAATGGGACAGAGGCCAATCACCTTCCTCCGTCAGGTAAGAATATTATAAAATAGTATTCTTGATTTTTTGTTAGAATACCAAGAATGCCTTAAAGTATGTCTGTCATGTTAGTATAAATGATTCTCTAGATGCACTTAGACTTAAAATAGTTTTCATAAAGAATTACAAATATTGATTTCTGAGATGAAGTCCTATAGCTTGCTTTCCGAGTGTCCTCTTTCAACACAGTAGCTTTCCTTACTTTTCAGATCATTCGCATTCATACTGCCACTTCTCCTATGTTATCAGTCAGCACATTCATTATCAATAATGCATTTAAAAAAAGAAAGTGGTTGTCTGCAAAGAAAAAAACAAATGCCTTTCTTCATCTGACAGTATACTTTAGGATCTGCATGCAGTTGGGTGCAACTAGTTGTACTGCTGCTGATTATGCACATTTTAACTCTGGGCAAGATAACTGGTAGGTTAACTTTTAGGAAGGACTACAACAAAAGACACATTTGTATGTTACCCCTAAAACACGAGCAAGGTTTAAAGCTGGTATTACAGTATTTACTGAGCATTCCTTACACACATACGTAAACTCCTCAGTCTATAATAATGTAAATTCAGAGAGTTCTAGGACAAACTGAAGCCATATGAAACTGGGGGTCCAGGCAATGAGTTTATAAAATTGAGCTATACAGCAAAATGTCAGCAAACTAGCAAGACCAGAGCTTCTTACAAATTATTCAGATTCAATGTTACTAAAGAAAATACTGGGTAAATGGGAAATCCTTTCTCCACATGACTACGTGCACACAGTGAACTAATTCTTTAGTCATAGTCCCACAAGATGACAAGAGCCTATCCATATCACATCATGTAAGCATAAAAATGAGAGAGACTGGAAGAAATGAAGTTGATCTCAAGCAAGACTTCTAGATTCTTTGTGTCTTACATGCCTTTATAAACTTAATTCTGCTAGGTCATGTTTCTACTTTTACTTTGTTCCATATCACCATTTCTTTTTTAATTAAATATTTCCCACAAATTCAAATTAGTAATAACTATAAGTTATTTTGGGGAAGGATTATTAGAACATGCAACTGGGACTTCAAAATGTGATCATATTTCTCAGTTATGCTCCATATTTGAACTCTTGATTTCTTGTCATAGAGTGGGCTAGTAATACACAAAGAGTAGAGGATAGAGCTGTTTAGAGATAACATGAATAATTAACTGTGTTTTACTGTGTTTCCACTATGCATAAATCACTTGGACTCCAATCTTCACTGTCTGTAATACAAATAGTTAATAATTCTATAACTGTTTTTGTCAGCAGAACTTAGATCCCAATAAGATTTCTTCACTTCTGTAAGCACTACCCTTAAAAAAACAACTGCAAACTCTTCATCAATAACCTTTGCTTGAAATTAGCTAGTATCTGTGATCTTTATTTCTAAGGAAAGTTAACAGTAATATTATCAACTTAAAATAACCATTGAGAAGTGGCCAATTTACATTTTCTTGGCACTCTAGGTAGTGGCACTGTGTACATACCCAAACCTGTTGGACAGTCCAAGTTTTCCAGAAGATGCCAAAAAGCGAGCCAGACGGATCTTGCAGGGTTGTGGAGGAAACAGCTTAGGTAAGTGTCTGTTTCAATCGCTCCTGTTGGTATTAGAATCAACAGAAGCAGTTTCAATATCTGTAGTGCTGAAATTTCTTAATTTCGTATTTTATATGACTACAAGTCAAATGGGAGATAGCCTAGGACAAAATGCTAGGGGGAGAGTTCACACTGTGCCCTGCTGATAATCAGCGACTAACAGTGCAAATTTTTGATGAGAGTTGTCACAGAAGAGGACAAGATGAGGATTATACAGTTATGGACCCCTCACCACAACATCTAGGCATAAGCCTAAACAGAATGCTGAGCTTTTTGTATCAGAAAAGTAAGTGGCAGGGAGTACTAGTGAAGCTTTGTTACTGTTCTTATGACATCTGTTAATTCTGGGCTCCGACAGGTATGTCTCCTGCTAAGTCTAGGTGGAGCTCTTTACAATTTTATCATCTCTATATTTCTCTGCCAAGTCTCTACTGTCCCTGTAATGATGGTATCAACAAACAGTATATGTCCATCTCAGCTGATCCAATTCACAGTCCTGTATCCTAAGTTTGAACCAACAGTGCAAGTACGTTTGTCAGGATATGAACTGGGGTATCAGAAACTCAGGTACCAAAGGTGACAATGCTCTGCAAAGGGAAAGCTACACAGCTGAAACGTGGAAGCTTTTTACTTAGACAAGATAGTTTTAACTGAAGATGTCTATGCCCTATTTCTCCAAGGTAAAATAACCCATGAAGGAACTAAAGAACTCTGTTCTTCAACCGCTGTTCCTGCAAGAGTATACACATAATATACACATAAATAAATACAAACTTTGCATATTCAGTAGAGAGGAAATGGAAGAGACAATTTCTTTATCATCTAGCAACTGTACTGCCTACTTGTACGTGGGAAATGCCACTAGAATTTCTACTCTGCAGATAGTGTTACAGCTGCTGAGTATGGCAAAGAGTCTGGCACATTTAATTACCTTCTTTCAGTTAGGCTAACAGTGACATTTCAGAGTATGTATTAGAGTAATTGGCGTATTTCTTAATCTTTGTGATTTCAGAGCTGATTTGCACTGGCATATTTTGAGAGTAGGTGCTGTGAAACTTAATAAAACAAACAAAACCTAAATAGTGGTTACATTAGCAGTATTTCAGCCTTGGACTACTCCTAACAATGCAGCCTAATACAGAATGTATTTTATCTCCACCTGTTTTGCATTGTTTTGTTTTTTTTTTCTATATGTAGAACACTAAAAATACATTTAGCACAACTGAAAAGTTCCTCTAGCTCCAAGAATTCCTTTCCTGGCTTACTTTGGAACAACTTATCCACACAGTACTAGTTGTCACGCAAGAGTTACTGGGGATATATCTGAATTTTGCTTCAGTCTTTCTTTGTAGTGATTTTCAAATCAGGGACATGGTAAGAGTTCTCAGAATGTTGGGTCTTGGCCCCATGCTGGAATGAAATGAAAGGAATTCAGGTTTGAATGATATTTCAGAAATATATTGCCTGCACAAAATCCCCTTTACAGCAGAAGATCACATATTTCAAGTAATTTGTGTTAGTCCAGTAGATGCTGAAGAATTAGGCCTGAAGCAGTTGCAATATTCAAATGAGATGATAATTCTGAATGCACCCTTTTAATTTCTGTGGATAAATTGAAGTTGTGTAAGTAACTGAAGTCTAAATATTTTTTTTTTCTGATATGTACCAAGAACAATTGTCCCTCTAAATTCCTCGAAACTAAAACCACTGTAGACCTTTCTGATCTGCTGTACTAGTTTATGCCTTCTCTCTACCCTCCCTGTCTCCAGTAACATATATCAGCCCCTTCACTTGGTCTCAGCTGCTCATCAGCCTCTGCACAGCACTCCATAAACACACAGTCTGAGGCAAGTACACATGCAGCTGAATGGAAGTCACTCCCATCACTTTGTTGGTAGTCTGACAACTTACTGCTGTTCTCTTCATGGCAGAGAAGGAGAAATTGGCTTTCTCTGGAAAAAGCAAAGGTCAAAACCTGATCCCTCCAGATTTAAATGTTGTGTTGTGTTCTAATGAAGCCTTATTTTCAAAAATTTTGTCAGTTCAACACAGAAGTGGCTTCACTACATATGGTCAAGGTGTTTGAAGTGTTGTATCCACACCTATACCAGCCTACTTAAATTATTAATTGCAAAGTTAGTATGAATGTCTTGACCTCTAGATATGAACTAGAATAACCTCACTTCCAATGAATGTTCATTTGGCAAACCCCTACTCAGAGTAGTGAGTCTTGCTACTCTCAGACCGTGTATGAAGGCTCAGATATGTCCTCAACTTCTTTTGTGTTTGAGTGCCCTGGGATTCCTTTGACATTACTTACTTTGCATGTGGGATAACTGTCATACCCTTCCAGGCAGTTGAGAAACTTAACTCTCTCCTGCATATAAAGATATCTAATATAAGCATGTGCAGATTTTTGGGTTGGTTTTACTTATCTGTATCCTGCAGTGCAAACAGATAGGCTCTAGTCAAAGCTATCAATTGAGTACAATTAAGTGAAGAAGACCTGAAAATTTATCTCACATCTTCTGTATATTCTCATGGAGTCATGGGACCGAGCCCTCAACAGAGCACAGGACATAATAACAGTTTAGGTTTGTTCTGCTATTTTAACAGTAGCTTCCTAGCTGTGGTCAAAGACCCATGTATAGACTCAATATAACTTTTAGTCCTGTAAAAGTAAACACTTAGGACATCAGATAACTTTGTGCCCTCAATTACCATTTTGTCCCATGCAATTGTGCAGTACTTGCAAAGGTTGTCTGTATAATTTATGCTTTCACAGAAGAATTACCAGACAGACTGCTAGCATATAACTGACAAGAGTTAAATCTGGCAAAATTATTCCACTCCAGCCAACAAGTAAAGAAGATCCTGTAGCTTCATGACAGTGTTCTAAATTAGACGTACATTTGTCACTTCATTGTCCACCACTCTTAGGCTTCATAGCTTGAAACCATTCCTAACCTTGGTTTAGGCTTATTTTTACTCTTTATTTGTGTGCCTTGGCAATGATGCATACTGGCATCCAACATCTTACTTTATTTAAGATTATTAGTTGTGCTCTGTAAACTGCACATGAGGCTTATAGTTTGGGGTGATCTTAGATGTTTCTGCTACAAGTAACTGAAAAGCAGTTCTGGGAGATGCTGTGGAGGGAGAGAGCAGCATTTAGGGAATTTTTGGGTTTCAGACTGTGGGAGAAAAAAGTATTATATTATTTTCATATTGCAAATAGAAATCTTATTTTTGTCATGGATTTGAAGAAGTTATTTTCCTTTCTATTGCACATGTTACCTCTCTTCTTTGTTCCCATTACTTAAATAGGTGTTGGTTGACATTCTGACATGGTTTTCAACTTAAAGAAAGCAACTAGGAGATAGTCAAAATGTGATTGTTGTCCCAGTTTGCAAAGTAGCCTTTAAATCCTACTTTTTACCAATTCAGCGTACTATTTTTGTATTTTAGTGATACTTATTATAGTTGTCTATTTACAAATAAATTCTTTTGTTCTATGAACAAACAAACTCCCTTTCCTACTGCTTGGGAAAAAAACCCAATCCTGGGGATCCAAAGCGCTCATATATACAAACTACTTTACGCAATACTAGCTTAGGAGTTTTGCTAGCAAACAGAAAATCTGATGTTCATTGTACTCGTTTCTCATGTCATTCTCTATTTTTCACAGGCTCTTACAGTGCCAGTCAGGGTATAAATTGCATCCGTGAAGATGTTGCTTCATATATTGAGAGAAGAGATGGAGGGGTTCCTGCAGATCCAGATAACATATATCTTACCACTGGGGCAAGTGATGGTATTGCTGTAAGTGTTAAAATTAAACCTGGCTCTTCTTGGTATAAACTATAATTTATCAGTTACCTTTGGAAATACAGATCTCTGTTGAACATCTGGTCTCACAAACTCCTGTGAGTTTGATCTAACAGATACTGAAGTCACATTAAGTGAATATTCAATACACCCGATTATGTGGATGTAAGATGCCAGCTAAGAAACATGTGTATGGAGACAAAGAGTCTTAATATACAATAACTTGTACCTTTTGTAAAGGTAATATAATTACATAGGTGTCTAAATATAAATTTAGGAGATTCAGACTAAATAATCGTGTCCTCAATGTTAAAGATATGTAAGCACTGAAGACCAGGAGGTATGAATCAGTGGCAGAGAGAAGAGAGAATGACCTTGGGGTTGAGAAGTCTCAGCAGCGCTTCTTGGTAGTAAATTCTCTGCTACTGCAGATTAATGCCAGTGAGAATCCCAAAGATCTATTTGAGTAGCCAGGTTGTTTGGGAAAAACTTCAGGTTTTGGCTTCAACCAAGGTTCAAAGATGGTCCTCAGTTAAGACAGGAATAACTGTCTCTATTAGATTTTTCCTCTACATTGAAACATTTACTGATATTACAACAACCAGCAATTCTTTGCTTTTATTAAGGCAGCCTTTTATAGCTCGTTTGTAAAAGTTTGGGGTTTTTTAAATGACATCTAGTGGCAGAGTTCAGAATGACAATGTCCTGACAGGAACAGCTCTCCAGATGTCTTTAGTGAATTGGCTTTCCAGAGTTTATGATGCCAAGTGTTATACTGGCAGCTGGTCAGGATTGACAGCATAGCATATCAAATCTGTACCATGCTTAATTGATTTCACCAGTGATGAAAAGTCAGCAGTACAATGAGTCTCATTATTTGGCACTTCCAAGGATAAAACAACCATTGTTTCATAACTTGAGAGACAGAGAGTGTTAAAGACTTTTTAAATTTGCATTTGCTCCTGATCATACATTTTGGATGCTTCGGATTTTTAAACTAGTGGTGGGTATAAAATTATGTTGATTAGCAGCTGAGTTAGTATGTGATGAGAGGCACAGAAAGGCAGATTTTGCTCTAGAACCAATGAGAAACTTAAAAGATACCTCTGTTATAACTGAAGAGGTATTTTTGGTTTTACACTATCAAGTACATGTTGGCAGGGATGCCTGCTTT